GCGGAAGTTCAACATCCAGGCGCTGCTGGTCATCGGGGGGTTTGAGGTGCGGGGGGAACCCTCAGCCCTGGTTCAGTGGGGGCCGGGGCTGGCCGTGGGCACCCTGGGCCACCCCTTTTGGGGTGAGGATCCGTCTCCCCAGCCCTTGGCTGTTGGCAGGCCTACGAGGGGGTGCTGCAGCTGGTGGAGGCCCGCGGGCAGTATGAGGAGCTCTGCATCATCATGTGCGTCATCCCCGCCACCATCAGCAACAACGTGCCCGGCACCGACTTCAGCCTGGGCTCGGACACAGCCGTCAACGCGGCCATGGAGGTGAGGGACAGGGCAGGAGGGAAGCCCGTGGGGCTGTCCCTGCTCCAGCCAGGTCCCGTGGTGGTTTGTGATGAACCAGCGTCCCATCCCGGGCAGCACAGATGGGTTTTCCTGGTGTGACCACCCCACACACCCACACGCTTTTTCCTGGCACAGAGCTGTGACCGCATCAAGCAGTCGGCCTCGGGCACCAAGCGCCGCGTCTTCATCGTGGAGACGATGGGGGGCTACTGCGGGTACCTCTCCACCGTCACCGGCATCGCGGTGGGCGCCGACGCCGCCTACGTCTACGAAGATCCCTTCACCATCCACGACCTGAAGGTGAGTGGGGCAGGGGGCTGCTTTCTGGCTTGGGTAAAATAAGATGGAGAACCGGGATAGAGAGAAGGGGGCTCCAGCCAAGCCCCGTGAAGCCACCGGGTGACGTTAGTGGCTCTGGAGTTGGCACATGAGAGGACCTGGGATGGCTGCAGAGGACGTGGGACGCCGCTGCCATCCTGGTGTTCATCTTCCAGGCCAACGTGGAGCACTTGACCGACAAAATGAAGACGGATATCCAGAGAGGGCTGGTGCTGCGGTGAGTTGGGGGTTCCTGGGGACGCTCGCTGGAAAACCCAGCCCGGTGGCAGGGAGCTGAGCCCTTCCCGTGGCCGGAGAGGGTCCCTGGGCACAGCGAGGTTGGGCACAGACGTCCTGCCCAAGGGTGCCACACTCGGCCAGGGGGACAGTCCTGTGCTGGGTGCCTCCGCTGCCCTCCCCACCCCATCCCCAGGGAGAGCAAAACAGCAAAAAAAAAAGGTGTTCGGGGGAGCACGGAGGGACCTCCTGGGGACAGCAGCTTGAGGAGGAGCCCCCCAACCCCTTCCCTCTGCTCCCCCAGCAACGAGAAGTGCCACGAGCACTACACCACCGAGTTCCTCTACAACCTCTACTCCTCCGAGGGCAAAGGCATCTTCGACTGCAGGATTAATGTCCTGGGCCACCTCCAGCAGGTACGGGGGACAGGGCAACCTGGGCCACTGCTGTCCCCAAGAGCCGGGCGGGCTTGACATCACCATTTCTTTGTCCCCAGGGAGGAGCCCCCACCCCCTTTGACCGCAACTACGGGACCAAGCTGGGAGTGAAGGCGGTGCTGTGGATGTCGGAGAAGCTGCAGGAGGTCTACCGCAAGGGTGAGACGAGGGATGGGGTCCTGTGGGGTGGGAGGTGGCACTGGGCAGCAGGGTGGCCACGAGCCACTGCTGTCCCCAAGAGCCGGGCGGGCTTGACATCACCATTTCTTTGTCCCCAGGGAGGAGCCCCCACCCCCTTTGACCGCAACTACGGGACCAAGCTGGGAGTGAAGGCGGTGCTGTGGATGTCGGAGAAGCTGCAGGAGGTCTACCGCAAGGGTGAGACGAGGAATGGGGTCCTGTGGGGTGGGAGGTGGCACCGGGCAGCCCCTGGGGCATGGCACTGGGCAGCAGGGTGGCCATGGTCAGCTGTGTCCCCTTCCCAGGGCGTGTGTTTGCCAACTCGGGCGACTCCGCCTGCGTGATCGGGCTCAGGAAGAAGGTGGTGGCCTTCAGCCCCGTGACAGAGCTCAAGAAAGTCACCGATTTCGAGTAAGTCCCCACGCCCCAAGGGTTCACCAGGTCTCAGGGGACCTTCCCTGGTCACTTGAGAGCCGTGTCCCCCCCCCTCTTTGCAGGCACAGGCTGCCCCAGGAGCAGTGGTGGCTGAACCTGCGGCTGATGCTGAAGATGCTCGCCAACTACCAGATCAGCCTGACCGAGTACATCTCGGGGACAATGGAGCACGTCACCCGCCGCACCCTCAGCATCGAGAAGGGCTTCTAATCCCACCAGCCCAGAGCCGTAGCCCCCTCCTCCTCCGCGTCCTCTCCATCCCCACCTGCTGCTCGGGGAGCACGGGGTCCCTCCCCCCTGTTCTCAGTCACCCCACAGCTTTGCCACCCACCCCTTAAAGCAGGCAGAGCCTGGTCTCCCGGCTCCCAAAACTGCACAATCCTGCCCCGAATCGCTGGTCCAGGGTCTGGTCCCCCGTGCAGATGCAGCCAAGAGGGTGTTGCTAGAGCCCCCCCCTCCCTTAATCTTCCCTTAATGGTTTATTTCTATTATTTAATGATGGGGTATCCTGACTCCTTAATTAGCGGCTTGACCGCCTGAGCCAACTGCTGCTTTTAGTGTGGGAGGGGAGCCCAGGAGGATGCGGTGCCGTCCCGCAGCGGGTAGGGGCTGGTCCTGGGGGCTTTCATCTGCCCAGTGAGTCCCAGTAAAGCCCCGTTCGCCCAGTGGGGTGTCTGGAGGGCTCAGCGCAGAGCACGGGTCCTGGCGAGCTCCCTCTTCCCCGGCCACCCTGCATGGCGCTTGGCTGTGACCGTCACAACGCGGCCCCCCAGGGCTGTGCACGTCATCTCACCGCTGCTCTGTGACCCCCCCCTTACCCCCCAAAAACCTCGCACCCTTCGCGGCGCCGCTCTCCTCCTCTAGAGATAAAACCCACCTGGAGCCAAACCTGCCTCGATGGAGAGTGGTCATTGCGCGCCGAGCCCCCACGGGGAGAAATGGGGGGGACAGATCTTGGGGAGGGGTGGGATGGGGGGACGAGCAAAGAAGCCGGATGGTTCCCCGGAGCCGGATGGACGCCGGCACGGGATGTTTCCCCGCTCCCTGCATCCTCACAGCCTGGGAGAGCGGGGTGGCGGCGCCAGGGTCAGCATCGTCCCTCCGCGGGATGGGCTTTGGCAACGCCGGGGGGAAAAAAAATCCCTTCTCCCTTGTTTTGGTTCCCACCTTCAAAGCAAGAAGCCCTACAGAGGGACCTAGATAGATTGGATCACTGGGCCAAGATCAACGGCATGAGTTTCAACAAGGGCAAGTGCCAGGTCCTGCACTTGGGCCACAACAACCCCCTGCAGCGCTACAGGCTGGGGGAAGTGTGGCTGGAGCTGCCTGGAGGAAAGAGACCTGGGGGTTCGAGTTGACAAACGGCTGAATATGAGCCGGCGTGTGCCCAGGGGGGCAAGAAAGCCAATGGCATCCTGGCTTGTATCAAAAATAGTGTGACCAGCAGAAGTAGGGAGGTGATTGTGCCCCTGTACTCAGCACTGGTGAGGCCACACCTGGAGTGTTGTGTCCAGTTTTGGGCACCTCAATCCAAGAGAGATCTGGAGGTGCTGGAGCGAGTGCAGAGGAGGGCAACGAAACTGGTGAAGGGGCTGGAAGACAAATCATACGAAGAGCGGCTGAAGGAGCTGGGGCTGTTCAGTATGAGGAAGAGGAGGCTGAGGGGAGACCTCATCACTCTCTACAACTCCTTGAAAGGACACTGTAGAGAGGTTGGGGCTGGTCTCTTCTCACAGGTAATTAACAATAGAACGAGAGGGAACGGCTTCAAGCTCCAACAGGGGAGGTTTAGACTGAACATGAGGAAGGAATTTTTCACCGAAAGAGTGGTCGGGCATTGGAACAGGCTGCCCAGGGAGGGGGTGGAGTCCCCATCCCTGGCTGTGTTTAAGGGCCGTTTAGATGCAGTGCTGAGGGACATGGTGTAGGGGAGGACTTTGTAGAGTAGGGTAGATGGTTGGACTCGATGATCCCAAGGGTCTCTTCCATCCTCAATGATTCTATGATTCTAAGAGGAAGAAGGGATTTCTCAGGGTGATGTCCGGGCAGTTTCTCAGGGTGGCCGGGCCTTGGCTCCCCTCCCCCATGCTCAGCCCGTGCCAGACGGCCACGGGTAGCCCCTTTCCCAGGCCACTTGCCCCCTTGGGGGCTTTCGGCTGACGGCTCCAGCCTCTGGGACATGGCCAGCAGCAGGACTTTTCACGCTCTTTGGGGTCAAACACACAGTTTGGGTTGTTTGTTTTTTTCCCCTCGCCGTGGAGTTGTCCCCAAGTGACGAGTTCCCTCCGCCCCCGATTTCAGTGCTTTTCCCCCAGCTGGCCGCGGTACTCAGTTTAGGCTCTGGAGGCAGATGATAATTATTGTATTTTCCCTGCCAGAGCCAGGCACGTGGAGAAACAGCAGACCTTGCTGATGGAGGCAGCCTCGCTGCTCTTTCCAGGCGAGTGTCTGCTCTGGGGACCCCGGGGACCAGATCCGGCTGCTCATCCCAGCGCCGGGAAGGAAAACATGCTCTTCCATTATCCCACGTGCTGCTTCCCCAGGCGGGACTCCCCACTATGGGATGGGGGGACCCCCACATAGTGGTGCTCCTGTGGGCCTCGGAGAGTCCCCCGGGATGTTTCGGATGCCAGTGGTGCTGGATCCGTGCTGGCAGGCAGACACCCACCCGTGTTTTCCGTGCCTGGTCTGGCCTCACCGCTCGCTACCCCCGGCTGAGGTAGGTCAGGGCAAAAGCCAGACATGCCAAAAAGCCCCACAGTTGTACCGTGGCCCAGCTCCTCCTCCGCGTCCTCTCCATCCCCACCTGCTGCTCGGGGAGCACGGGGTCCCTCCCCCCTGTTCTCAGTCACCCCACAGCTTTGCCACCCACCCCTTAAAGCAGGCAGAGCCTGGTCTCCCGGCTCCCAAAACTGCACAATCCTGCCCCGAATCGCTGGTCCAGGGTCTGGTCCCCCGTGCAGATGCAGCCAAGAGGGTGTTGCTAGAGCCCCCCCCTCCCTTAATCTTCCCTTAATGGTTTATTTCTATTATTTAATGATGGGGTATCCTGACTCCTTAATTAGCGGCTTGACCGCCTGAGCCAACTGCTGCTTTTAGTGTGGGAGGGGAGCCCAGGAGGATGCGGTGCCGTCCCGCAGCGGGTAGGGGCTGGTCCTGGGGGCTTTCATCTGCCCAGTGAGTCCCAGTAAAGCCCCGTTCGCCCAGTGGGGTGTCTGGAGGGCTCAGCGCAGAGCACGGGTCCTGGCGAGCTCCCTCTTCCCCGGCCACCCTGCATGGCGCTTGGCTGTGACCGTCACAACGCGGCCCCCCAGGGCTGTGCACGTCATCTCACCGCTGCTCTGTGACCCCCCCCTTACCCCCCAAAAACCTCGCACCCTTCGCGGCGCCGCTCTCCTCCTCTAGAGATAAAACCCACCTGGAGCCAAACCTGCCTCGATGGAGAGTGGTCATTGCGCGCCGAGCCCCCACGGGGAGAAATGGGGGGGACAGATCTTGGGGAGGGGTGGGATGGGGGGACGAGCAAAGAAGCCGGATGGTTCCCCGGAGCCGGATGGACGCCGGCACGGGATGTTTCCCCGCTCCCTGCATCCTCACAGCCTGGGAGAGCGGGGTGGCGGCGCCAGGGTCAGCATCGTCCCTCCGCGGGATGGGCTTTGGCAACGCCGGGGGGAAAAAAAATCCCTTCTCCCTTGTTTTGGTTCCCACCTTCAAAGCAAGAAGCCCTACAGAGGGACCTAGATAGATTGGATCACTGGGCCAAGATCAACGGCATGAGTTTCAACAAGGGCAAGTGCCAGGTCCTGCACTTGGGCCACAACAACCCCCTGCAGCGCTACAGGCTGGGGGAAGTGTGGCTGGAGCTGCCTGGAGGAAAGAGACCTGGGGGTTCGAGTTGACAAACGGCTGAATATGAGCCGGC